CGCCTGAGAAGCCCGTGAACAACTGGAACGGCCGACCGCACTGACGGACTCACTCCGGATGAAAGGACAACTCCCACCACGCGCCGCGCCGCCGCGCATCCGGAACCTGCGCGCATGCCCACGTGATCGCGCGCTCCAGGGTCGTACTTGCGTGCAACGCGAGTCGCCCATTGGGCCCGCTGAACATTATTTATTTGCTGCGGTGGCGAGTGAGATGTATTGAACTGACGTGGCAAGTAATGATGCACGTATGGTAAGAGAACTCATTAATTTCGCAAAGGCTTAGACAAGTTTGTATAAGACTCATGCAGGATTTACACTGCGTCCGACGTCCGATATGCGACGTTCGAAATTTAAAGGGAGAATCAATTTTCTGGAAAAACAAAAATGTCAGTAGTTACAAACTCTACTATTGGATATCGGAGCGTCATACGTCGTTGTATTGTTTAGAGCACTAGTATAATTTTCTGCATCTTTTTCATTCCTGAAACATGTTGATATTCATGTTTGCAAATGCAAAAATTTTGGTTTCTAATTTTTCTTGATTAATATGTATTTCCGCGCTTTTTTCAGCATTTATTTCTACTCGGGTTAATGATACCTCTTATTTCGATAAAAATAAATACGCTACTGAAAGCTGACCGTGCATACGACGCTATCGCGCATGCGTAAATTTGTCCATTTGGAAATACCGGATGGATGAACGGGTTAGGAAATGGCGGAAATGGCCGGAAGCGCTCTAGTCGGAACTTCACTACGATTGGACGATCGAAGAACGTGCGAAATTCCAATAATATTGGAATATCGTTCTGTATTAAGAGGCTCGAATATTTACGCACATTCCGAGAAAATTGGTGCACAATGTATTAAGAGAAATAAACGTTTTGCACAATTTAATTACGGTGCAAAACGTGCGAATTGATTGAATTACCGTCTCGCACCAAGTTGGTCTGCTTGATCTATTTTCCAGGAAATTGCAATCACGCATTATCGGGTTCGAGATATCTGGATTAACAGTTTTCAAAACATTTATTCATTGTAAATACATTGTTTGTTTGTGCCTTACTCTTCGAAAATTAGGCTTGTATGAGTCACGTAAAAGGCGTTTCCGATCATTGTGATTATTATCTAGATTTTTTTCCCCCAATTGAAATAGTAACTCGACAATAATGACTCTGGCACGCGAGATACGTAACGTCGTGTGCATCAGTTTTCGATTTGCGCGAAGCACTCTTGAGACTCCAGAATATCAATTTGTGTCACAAGAGGGGAAACGAGATTTATAAGAGGCAAAAGTCTGACGGATCTCACGAATGCGGATTTCGCCAATTGAGTTTCCAATATACGCACTCTCCGAATTACTTTCGAAACAAGACTGCGATTGCAAAAGTGCGCTACAATCTGAGATAGATCATTCTTTTTTATTCGCAGTACCACGAACGCTCTACGCGTTCCTACAATCTTCGTGTCGCTTTTAACCCTTTCGCTGCGAAAGTGTGCGTTTTTATGTGCCGTTTAGAAAATGTAATTCAATATCTTCGGATATGCTTCGATTGCCGTAAGCAATTATCTAAAGAGAAAGCTGCTCATTATGCTGGAAATCATAATAGGTTTTTCGGACGTCGCTACGAAAGAGTTAATCGTTTAACCTTTCTATGTTTTAAGGCATATCTCAACTTGTATAATCCGATTCGCGCGTAAAGCAGAAAAAATTTCTATAGATTTAATTTTCTAAATTTTGCATCTCACATTATATTTATTATCTAATATTTCTCAGTGCGCAACTTTATCGTCCCAATCAACGTTTAAGACACGTTATCTCGCTTTAATATAATTTTCGTGAGAAACACAAGTGATTATACATTTACTCTCACGATCTGTCTGTCTCTCTCTCTTTCTTTTGTTCCTCGCACTATTACTGTGTTGCAATCGATTGCGTATTGCTTTCATAAGTGTGACAAAGAATCATCGATTTGTATCACTCGTTAGTACTGATCGTAACTTTATATATATATATAATGTGTATATATATATATATATATATATATATATATATATATATATATATATATATATATTTTCCGCTTATATTATGGTCCCTACAAAAAATACATTACATCTATAAGCAGCTTATGTTACTGTAATAATCATATGTATGTACATAACAGTTTCCTCACTTAAATGTATTACTACTATGTAGAGGTGTGCGAATACTCGAAATCGCGGTAGCCCCGTCCCGAACCCGAAGAAAATATCCGACGAAAATATCCGACCCGAAATTTTCAGGAAGTCGCACACCTCTGACAGCTACAATCTCTAACATGTTGTTCTCACATGTTCTCCTTTGTTCTATTCTTTTTCTCTCTTATCTTCGTATTCTTTTCTTAATCTTTCGCTGACGCACCCACACACACACACGCACGCACGCACGCACGCATGCATACATTCAAGTGCAGACACAATTTTACCGAAATGTTCTATTTACTGTAGCTCCGGAATGTTATACGCATTAATCTTAACGGCCATAACAAAAAATTTGATCGAGCCGAACGAAAGGTTTGTAAAATTAACGATACGGTACTATTAGTGACAGTTATCGTAGCGGTACTAATAGCAGTGGTGGTAGTGGTAGTAATAGTAGTAGTAGTAATAGTACGCGCGCGCAGTATATTACTCGTAGAAACAGTAATAGTAATAGCCGATAGAGCAATATATGATAATCGTAAAACCGATATTCAATCGTGAGAGAGAAGGAGTAAAACGATAAAGAAGAATTGAGGAGATTCATAACGGTAAGATCCAGTGAGAGCATACGCATTATTCGGTGTGTCTCGCGTTGTTATATAAAAAAGAAAAATAAAACAAATATACGCATGTGTGTGTATGTATATATAATGTATATATGTATATATATATATATATATATATATATATATATATATATATATATATATA